CCCCCCCCCTCCCCCTTTTTTTATTCGGCGGATACAACTAGATATATGGATATATATAGGTAGATACCCAGAGGGATTTTTCTTTTTAAATGCCAGATAGGCAAGTTTGGTGTATATAGCAAACCGCGGATCCTTGTGTTGAATATGTTCACGCTCGTCTAGGAATAATATGGGAAATTCCCGTCCTGTCATTCTGTTGAAGAGGTGAGTCTCCTTAGTATACGAATGTACGGGAGGTATCAAGCAATTCCTGGACGGTCTAGTCTAGAGAATAGCGTTTTGCTAATTCTCTAAGATAACTAATATTTTAACATTCGGCCATGACCAGCTGTAGTTATAGCTGCTGAAACGACGGGTAATAAAGGCCTAACCGGGTCTGGTCCTCGTCGATTGGAGAAATTCGAATTGAGTTTGTGTTTCGTGGGATTCTAGTAGGTGGGTAAATTGCATATAAAGGGCAATAATCATGTACTCCGGCATATAACCGGGATAAGAAATACATAGAACCGACAAATAAAAGATTATAAAAATACTAGTAGTTAGGCTACACAGAATACATGTTGATTCGGCCCATAATGATGTGCTCCCGAATACTGATCGATGCATTCGACCAAATCTCGCCTTGGCGCTGATCGGATTGGCATCTAGATCCGCCAAAGAGTGCTTCGCCTGAAAAGTAGGATCGGCAAGGAAACAAAACGGAAAAGGTGGTGGATCCTGATATGCCCTGACAAGGCTGATTCGAGTGCATTCGGAGCGGATTGTCGATGGATAATAGAGAACTGTCACTGCCGGCTAGGAGATGCATTAGCGGGTTTATCTGCGACTTGTCAGCTTGCTGAAGATCGATCGGGTCATTTAGAAACGCTCTTAATGTATTCCAGAAGCAAACAAAGAGCGCAAGCAAGCCAGGCTTGGCCCAGGACCCCTGTTGGGGCCCGCGGAAAATGCTTCTAGAAGGCTGAAAGTGGATTTTGTGTTGTTCTAGCTTGCTTCGAGTGGGGGCATGAATATTCGGGGCTTGATGAATATCAAGTTGTAGACGCATTTATATAATGACAGCAGCCCCTGACGGTTCGGGGCTGGATGACTCGGCAGTGGCGCATGAGGCATTTGACAG